CAAAGAAATCATTTTTCACTTCCAATAATCTCTCCCAAACAAAACTTAAGTTCCTGTTAGAATAATTTGTTATGACATCTTTGGGGTGACGTGGATATTAGTATTCAACCATCCAGTTGAGTGTCTAAAGCCCTATTAAAATATGAAGGTGTTTGGTGGGGATTGAAAAATTTGATATTTTAATAGATTGTGATAGAAAATTTTGAAATGTGTGGTTAATTTTGAAATGTGTGGTTGAAAAGTTGGGGGACGCATGAAAGATCTGGTTAATAGTGATTGTTTGACTTTGACTTAGATTAAAATCAGATTTTAATCCGAACCAAACAAGCTCTATTCCATTCTCTAGACTCTATCAGTTTTCTCGTGTTTAATTTGTGGCGTTATCAATCCATCATGACCACTTTTCTTTCTTTTTCTCAACCAACTTGATTTTTGCCTCGTAAAGTTGCTCAATTACCAATAGAAATAGATCATAATTGTTATCTAGCATCTAGCTCGTAGTGTCTCCCTGAAGAGTCCCCAAGGCTTTATTTGTTTGATCGTATGCTATATAATCATTTTCTTTCACATTAGTGTCATGAAAGTTTGAGCATTAAATTTTTCCTTTTTCTCATGAAGTTCCCAAATCAGGAAAAGCAATTTTGATTGTCTTTCACATATCATTTTCCACATTTTTCTGTCCTTTGTGCCCGCTTGTAGGATTCCATGTATAAACTACTATATTTTTTATGAGCCTTGTCATTGTAAACTTTCGAATTCTTGGTGCGGCAAATATGATACTTGAAAATCTTAAACATGAATTTGTAATTTTTCTGCTATAATTCTTTTTAATCTGTTACAATTCACTTAAAATCACATAATCCAACATCGATTGAAGCTTGTCTCATGCTCTACCATCTTCATTTATTGTTCATAGAGCTAGCTGAAGTCTTCACTTTTAAGCTGTCTTAGTCTGAATGATCTCCTTTTCCTTTGTTTCAGATCATATTAGCTTTTGTTTCGTACTTCCTGTCTAATCTGACCTTTTTCCGAAAATTTATATATTCTGTAGGTTGTACTGGATGAAGAAAAACAAGTAGCAACAGTGGACAGAGAGGTTGATGGCGGTCTTGAGACTGTGTGTTTAGAGTTGCCTGCAGTAATCACGTAAACAGCTCTTTTCGCATGCTGCTATTACTTATTATAGGAACACATCTTACAGATATTTCATTTACCATGCGTAAACATTCTTAGAGGATTGTTTTGTCCTGATGATTATGTTCTTCGCACAGTCAAGAACAGTGGAAAGGGAGTTAATAATTCAAATTTAATCCAACAACTTTGTGTGTAGTAAGTGCCTAAAAGGAAGGAGTATGCTGATACAACCCTGATTAAAATTATTTCAATCGTCATTCGCATTGGGATTTAGGAGAATAAATAGTATCAGCAGGAAGCTTTCTATAAATTGGAGGGGAGGGGGAATGGGAAGTTTTCATTCGGAATATGGAGAAAGTGGGAAATCACGGTGGGGAGAGAATTGAACCTCTTGAAAGCTCAATGTGTCTTTGTAATTCATTTTCATTCAGGAATGCGAATTTATATTTGGTTTTCAGCGTCAGATTTGAGGATTATATCATATGCAAATGATATTCATAGGTTATATTACCTGAATTTGAAGGAAACAATGGCTTTGGAAATGGCAACAAGTCCTAGTTAGATACTGAAATCTTTGGAACTGTGGACTTGACTTCTCTGATGCTTATCCTATTCACTGTACTCATCCTGAAAATATATTCAGTTTTTNAATCTCTCATAAAGGAAAGTCATGTGTTCGAATTTTGGAGACGCAACAAAAACCCATGAGGGGTAAGATGGATTGAGACACTCTTATGGCGGACAATACATAAGTTAACGGCTTGAATATAAAGGCTGAATCGTTACAACTAGATATGCACACGTATATGAGACCTGCACCCGAGTCCGGGCACCATAGATGGTATATATTTAGAACTGCAATAGTGGTTATAATATCATTAAATTTCCTATTGACATGAATGTACAAGTTATTGTGTAGCATTATCACATGACATGATGTTCATATCTAACCAAAATGTTCTCATATCCAAGTTTTACAAGATTTTCTGTATGTGCATGTTGCTGTTGTTTTATACTCGTGGACTAGTTTGTACTTCTTAGCTTACATATTTATGGTTTTCGAATGATCCTCCTATAATTGATATGGGACATGAGTCATCACGTTTAAATTGTGACAAACCTCGTGCTGTTTAATCGTTATTCCCTATAACATCCAAAGAAATAATTTCCGGGAGATGGTTTACTATTAGTGTTTGCTGCATCACGGGTTCTATGGGTTAAATTTAGAAGGATTTTCACTTAAAGACTCAATAACTGTTTGAAATTTTGATCTTGTGAAGTCTCAGTTTGTGTATGGATGTTTATGCCTACATGCCACGAATAAATGATTTCGTATGTTTTGATTGACTATGTTTTCTTGCAGCACTGATTTGAGACTGAACCAGCCAAGGTATGCAACCCTTCCCAACATAATGAAAGCAAAATCGAAGGTTATAAAGAAAGTTACTCCGCAAGATTTGAACGTAGAGATCCGATCTGACTTGGAGGTTGTTCAGGTGACCGAACCACCCAAGAGAAAAGCAGGGGTTATTGTGTCTTCTATTGATGAACTAATCGACAAGTTGAAAAACGAAGCTCACGTAATTTGATTACGTATAAGCTGTTGTCTGCTAAGTTCCTCCGCAGGTTTCTGTGCTCGCCAATGAGTTCGATTCTTGTAACATTTATTTACATAATGCATGTATTGGAATAGTTTGGATTCCTCATCAATAATCAATAAATTTTTATATAAACTTGTAATTTTAGTGTTTTCATGAAACATAGGAATGGCAACGAGGGTTTGAAATAGGATCCTCGTCCCCGTCTAGGGATGGCAGTGGGCCGAGTCGAGCTGGTGGCGCTCGGCCCACGAGCTCGTGTACTCACGAGCCACGAGCTCGTGTACTCACGAGTCACGAGCTCGTGGGTCGAGCCGAGCCGAGCCCAGGAGCAGCTTGCGGCTCGTGATTTTTTTTATTTTTTATTTTTGCAAATTTTTCTATTGATAAAATTTTATTTTTTTCAAC